TCTTCGTGGGGCGATGTTGTACTGTATAATACTGCGTCTAAATCGCTAACACAAGGAAGGGTTGGTGAATTCAAATAAAATAATGGACATTGATAAACAAAACACATGAAACAAATATAAATATAGTGCTTTGAAGGTTCATACATATGACATCAAAATCGATCCAAGCACTACACAATACCGGTACTTGAGCAGCACTAGCAATCTGAGTGAATATGCATAATACGTATTATCGTCAAAGCTGTGTGGAATCACTAGATCCGAGGACCGAGTTCTGGATATTCAGGAGAAAAATGAGGGGGAGGGGAAGTTGAAGTGGGATGGGGGGGCATACAATACTCAAGAAATATCCCTTCGGGTTACAGTAAGATGTTGACCTCGATCGTATGGCTGCGACACTACGATGCCAGTGCACAAAATATCATTTGCTCACACAACAGACAATAATCCTAAGAGCCTCAACTGTAACCCAGCACCCCCCGTCACGGTTAAAGATTACTTCTGACTGGATGGAACACATTGTTGGTAGGGGGAGCAAAGCAGCTCACGTGAACCAGTTATATTTTTAATCTAAGAACGAGAAACAAGCGGCGAGTCATAGAGTCATAGAGTCGTAGAGTAGTCGGCCATGGCTACATAAATCAACTGAGCAAGTTGTCCTTTTTCCATTTCCATGAGCCGTTTTCTCACTCATAATTCTTCTGAGTCCCTCGAAGGTGGAAACGTGTTCCCGCCCACAGCGAAAGAAGTACCTTACCGACATCCCAGAGAGTTACAGTGCTCGAGTAACCCTTATCCCATTGGGCCAGGAATACTAGCCACATACGGAAAGGTGTGACACGCTGTGCAACTCAAATAGTCACTTTTTACCCCTCCAAAGCCCACGGAGAGGCCAGGCGAGAGAGCTGGGTATACTTGTTTTTGCAACAAGGAGCAGCAGACCGTGCTGGAGGCCCCACTCTCCGCTGTTAGAAGCTGAGGATTAGAAGGGAGACAGAGACAGAGACAGATATCATCAATAAAGCGATAGACTTACCTTTCAAGCACAGTACAGAGTACATATAACAGGGTTGGAGAACTGACTCTGAGCGCCATCCACATCCGCATCCACATCCATCCATCCCACCACCACCACCCCGCCTCTGCTCCTGTCTTATTTACCTGTCCCCAAACTCCCCACTCACCACCGCTTTCCACCCCCCACCACAACCCCAAAATAACCACAAAATACCTTCCGCTCATCTACCTGCTCTCTCTTTCATCTGCTATTACTCCTGCTGCTACTGCTAGCCTTGCTACCATCTTGGAATAACTCTACTCATTGTCTGACCTTTCATCACTCAAGAAAATCAAAACAAAACAAAAAAAAGAATAAAGCCATAGTCTCCATTTTGTTTTGCCCGGTGCCTGACCGCCTTGCCCAGCGTTTCCCGCGGTCGGACAACACACATGAGCAAAACCCCCCCTTGTGTGCTGGAAATACTCTCCCAATTTCTCCTTCTCTGAATACCAGTTGACTCAACGAAGCGAGCACGGCTGCGGTCTCTTGTGCGTTCGCCTCCACTCAGTCAAAGGAGCCCTAACCAGCCATCTATCATACAAGTGGACGAAGACCTCGTACCAATCAATCCAAAGGTTTACACACGCAGACAGGCAAGCCCCTCCTCCTCTCCCACCTTAACCAACTCAACCCTGCGTTTCTCTTCTACCCTAACACAACCTCAACCTCCTCCTCTTCAGCTTCTCTCACTTTCACTTGTTCGTTATTCTCCCGTTTGTTACGTTGCAGCAAAGGTACTCCACCCTAGCCTCCTTTCTTCCCCTCCGTTCACTCCTCTTCTGGAAAACGCTGCACTCTCAGAGTTGTCATTCATTTGTTGCTGACCAAAACGAGGCGCCACTTTTCCTGTCTTGCTACCATACCCTCGTAACCTCATTAGAACTTCTACGTGCCCTACTTAAACCTCATTTTGTGCTGAACCCTCGGTTCGGTTGAGCCTCCAACAATCGAAATGCCGGCCCACTCGGAAGACGGCGGCAGCAGCCCACTAGAGGAGAGTACCTATGAGTTGCTCAGCATGTCTACTGAGATCTCTGACGACGAAGACGATGCTTCATCTATAACTTCGTTTAGGGACAATATCAGCGAAGACAATATGTCTATCGAGGATAGCGAGTCTCTTGCTGAATTTCAAGATGACTCTCCTCATTCCGACCCCAGCCCTGGTATCCCCGCATTCGGTGGCCTTGACGAACAGCACCTTGATAAAAGCAGAATGACCCTCAAAGACGAACGCTTCGGCTCAGAACAAGTGGTTTTCGAGGAACCAGAAGACTTTGCTGGTGAACAGATTTCCGTGAGCTCGCGTGTAATTGAATTCAATGAAGCCGATTCCATGGACATCAGCCAACACCTAAGGGTTGACGATCCACCTCCTGCTAAACTCTTCGCTACGGTGCGGCAAACCATGAGCAAGCACCAACTTGTCATGGAAGAGCCTTTCCGCATCCTGTATGTCGGAGCTACATCTGCGAAGGATGAGATAACTACAAAATTAGGGGGTGCACTAGCTGTCCCTGTCACTGAGTCGACCAGCTCTTCCTGCTCATGGGAAAGCTCCAAGGGCTCGCGTTTTAATGTCATACCTGTCTCGTCTTTCGGTGCCCGCAGCAGTTCACCTGAAGTCGAGCTTGTGGAGTCGTTTGGCGTAGAGATGGCCGTTGACGTGTGTACCGCAGCGAGGTCCTCCAAGAGAGAAAATCGGCCAGAGACTTTATCCTTGTGGTTGAATGGTAACCAATCCGTGTCGTCGTCTTACGGTGATAGCGGTCCCCAGCTTGAGAGCCCTGGCTGGAAACTGCCTCACCTAGCAGTTGTCTTCAGTTCAGAAGATGACAATACGCAGAGGAGGATGACCCGAGTATACGCAAGAGCTTTCATGGCTCGTCACTCAGTTCCAACTCTTGTCATTTCTCAAGACCCTCTCTATCACAAGCTCACCGAAAATTATACCCTCGATACACGAAGCGTGCACATGTGTCTCGAGTCGCAATCTGATTCGAAATATGGCCACCTCGTTCATAAGCGTTTGCCTATTGATCTAAATACCTTCCTCAATCTTGATGTTCGTCAGATGAACCGCAACTTGGCCTGCGTTACCGGTATCTCTCCAAAATCCGATCGGGAGAATGCGCCGATCCCAGTCGGCGGATTGCGAACATCTGTGTCCTCCATTACTTCCACTAACACATTACTGAGAGATGTAGAAAAGGCACCCCATCAACCAACATTGAACGCCTCGAGCAGCCTATACTGGGTCCGTGACCAGAAGCGCGAAGACCTCTGGAAAGTTTTTCTCGTGGGCTGGATATTCGTGTGTGGTCTAGCTGGAGCGACATTTGCCATTGCGTGCATGAAGTTTAAATCACCGATGGCCACTGATGAAGCTCTCGCTCCAGCCGTAAAATCTGTTACACAGATGACAACCTCTGCCTCGACCGTAATGTCCCCTACTGCGGTCTCAGTCATTACCTCACTCTCCGCCACAGTTCATTCGTCGAGCATCGCTACGACATCGCGATGTAGCCCAAAGAACGATATATCTAGTCTTGTCTTCGACCCGAACTCTTTGACATTGAATCAATCTGGCCAATTCACTGTTCATGTCATTGGAGACAACCATCTTATCATACGCCCCCCACAAAAGTATCTACTACTCCGAAAGCCACCTACTTTATTCGTCGAAGTCACTCGTGGTGGAGAAGAAATATCTTCTGAACTCTCAAAGCCTCTGGAAGGTGTGTATACGCTGGAGCTGGATAGTGAGCAAGCTTGGGGATTAGTGAAGATTTCGATTTCGACCAGGAGCGCACCCTTGATTAGTGAGACATTGGAGGTTGACTTTGGGTCACCTTGGTTGAAACTTTCAGGATGGCTCAAGGCGGTAGAACAGAAAAAGGCGGAAATCCAGGTCATAGTGGAGCAGACCATAATCGAGGCAGAAAAAATTGCAAACGACTTGACCGACATTGCAGGGAAACAGGCCATGGAGGCGAAGGAAGCTATGGTGGCTAAGGCGAAGGAGATCACAAATGGTGCTTCAAAACTCTACCAAGGAACCAAATCCATCACTCTAAAGCACTACCTCCCTTCTGTCAGCAAATCGGAATACGTGCAAAAGGCACAGAAGCAGGCCAAGATTGTCTGGGAGAAGGAAACCGAGAAACTTTCTGCAAAGAGAAAGGAAGTCAAACGAACTGGATGGCTGGGTCGATAAATAGCCCACCTTTTTAATTTCATTAGTATGGTTAGTTGGTCGGTTCTTCTGCTTCTTTTTATTTTGCCCTGTGTCTCAATATCTCTCCCTCCAGCTTTCCGCCTATTGGAAGAGGTGGGAACAGTGGGGACTTCGACGGGCCTTCTCAATTTATTGTTCATGTATGTGATTAGTTAGGATTTTTTTTTTTTCTCTCTCGTTTCCTTCTTGCTTTGTTTCTCTGTGCTTTCTTGTCCGGCCCCTGGAGTATTTTTTCTTTCTCTTTTTAGGTGGGAAGGGGATAGGATAGGAGCCCCTCGGGCACAAAGGACTTGGGCAGGATTAGGATTAGGGGGATGCACGGGACTCGGTTAGGTCTATATGGAGTTCTTTTCTTTCCTTTTTTGTTTTCAATCATATTTTATGTCTTCTAAGTGCTATATTTGCTTTTCTTTACACTCCCCATTCCTACTACTACACGTATGGCGATGCCCTGAGGGACTTCGGAATATGATAGGTGTTCCGAGGATGAATCATTATATGATAAATAAATAAACGGGCAACTATGGTGCAAAAATCTTTGGAGAGCGAGCGGATAAACACCCGCGCAGTGAGCTTTTCAATTGGCCGTTGGTCCCAGTCGAGAGGTTCTAAAGGTTTTGGACTGGGTTGAAACTTCAATTTCTCTGCTTGAGATCCATTTCGGGGGGCGATTACCATGGAATAAAGGATATACAGCGCTCCCAAGGCATAACCACCAAAATCCCCTCGGGAGTGGGGCGCCCTGGGTACCGGTAATCTGTTGCTCTGAGACTCTCCTTTGGGAGTAAAGCACACACCTTAACTCTGTAATTCTATGGCATAGGGCGTGACACGATGTAAACATAATCATTGGGGGAAGGGCCTGTCATCTTATGGTCTGGCAGGTTTCGAGTGATGGAAGGTGCTGCGGCCCCCAGACCTGGATTAAGAGCCATGAAAGCGCGACTCAATATCACGTGATACGGGTTGACGCCAAGCCCCCGGACGTTCCCTCACAACAAATAACACTCGTCCTTCCTCTCTCCCCCACACAACTCGCATCGAACGAAACAACACCTTTCTCTGTCAAAGCCACTGACCTCGGTCTTAACATCAACCGATTCTTTCTGTAATTGACGAGTCACGGTTCGAAGCTTTACAGCCTTAGGTATCTTAATAAATCTACACAATGACTGAGGTATGATAGCTTCACTTTTTATTCACTGCCTTTGCCTTCCTCAGCTCCTCCGCATTCGGAGGAAGGGAAAAAAACAAGGCGCAACAAACGATGTGCACTAACCATCCTGCTATAACACAGATTACCAGAAAGATCAAGCTCGTCACAACTCAATCAATACTGTATGTGCGCTCCCTCACGTGTATCTTTTCATCTCAACCATCCATCTGTTTTGCGCCTGACTGATGGGTTTTATTTTTCTCCGTTTCTTTGCTCTACAGGACAGATGTTGCGCCTGCCCACGAGGGTTTCCCGATGAGGGAGTGGTCTATCCGTGTGTTCATCCAAGGGGAGAAAGGGGAAGAGCTACCTGCGAATATATTCGACAAGGTGACATATAAGCTCCATCCGACGTTTGCCAATCCGAATAGGGGTATGTTCCTTTCGCCCCGCTTTTCCAATATCTTCGTCGCACCGCGGAGGACTATATAAATTTTTGTATACGAAAAGAATGGTGCGAGGGAGGAATGAAAAAAAGGAAGGAATAAAGAATTATCTAATTTAGGTTTGGTGGTGGGAGATAGTCGTCAAGAAGCTACCGTTTTTAATCACCGAGCAGGGCTGGGGAGAATTCGATATGGAGGTTGTTCTTCATGCCATCGATAAGGGCGGTGATCATTCCATTCGCCACGACCTCAACTTTCAGAAGAATAAATACGAGTCTGTTCATCCCGTCGTGAGTCTTCACTTTCACCTCTTACCCGGCGGTGGTTGCGATTGATTGCATAACTGATGTGGGAGACCTTACTAGACTTTCAATAACCCGAGACCGAACCTTGTCAAGGCTTTGGCAGCCTCTGGCCCAGTTCCTGGGGCGGACACCGCGGCGCCGGAGGAGAACGGGGTGTCCAAACGTGATAAGCGCAAGAATGATGGAGAAGAGAGGACTAAGAAGAAGAGCCGGAGCGAACGTACCGTCAGTTTTTCCCTACCTTTTCTATTGCTCTGCGATCCTCGGCGTGCACTATGAAATTTTGTTAAAAAAAAGCAAAAACTTGACTCTCCGCCTTTCTCCCGCCCTCTTAATTGATTTTTTCCTTGTTGCAACATACTGACCTAGGTTTTATGGTAATAGTTCGACATGGAGAAGCTAGCAGAAGGCCTTCAGAAGCTTCAAGAAGAACATCTTCTCCAGGTCGTTCAGATGGTACATGATAACAAGACTCCCGAGACTTATATCAAAAATGACGTAGAGCGTGAGTGCTACCTACCCACTTACCGGTCTCCTGCCAGGCTAATCAAATCAATCAAAATTAATTTTTGCGAAACAGAGGGTGAATTCCACGTTGATCTTTATACACTTCCCTCACACCTTACCCAAATGCTTTGGAAATTCGTCCAAGAGTGTGGCGTCGACGTATAATTATCGTTCTTCCCTTTCCCTCGACTCATTTTTCATGTTCTGCTTGCCCGGGTTGTTTTTCTTATCGTTTTTTCCTCTTTCAAAAAAAAAAAAATTAAAACCAAAAAAAAAAAACCCCAATTTGAAAATTTTGGCTTCCTTGGTGTTGTGATCTTTACTTCTTTTTTTGTCTTTTTAAATTTCTTTTTCCTCCCTTCTTGCGCTTGTATTACCCTACACTTCCTACTTACCACCAACCTACCTACCTACCCATACCTCCTCAACCGCCGTCGACAGTATACGCTCCCAAGCAAGAAATCCACTCCTCCGAAACTAGGCGTAAGGAATTATTCTTTTCTTTCACTTTCATTTTCTTTTACGTTTCTCCTCTCTTCTTGTGTAGCCGCCTCTCCATCCTTTACTTATTACATTCATGCTACGCAAGATGTTCCTCACATCGTACTTTACTCCACCATACCTTATTTTTAAGTGTCATGCCCCCCCCTCTTTTTTGTGTTGCGGTTCTATGTCTGGCTACGATAGGTCTGGTTCGTTTTGCATAAAGCAAATTACTACAGTATTATGATATGCCCTGGTTGGTGCACTGTGCCCCATATGAAAATCTTGGTACTGTGCTTGTGGAATGGAATGGCGGGGTGTATTATGATTATAATTATTACTATCGTTATGTATGGATGGACGTCGTGGGAGGATGTAGGACCCGAGACTACCTAGTCTTCCTAGAATGGGGGAAATTGGGGAGAGGAAGGGTAAGGGAAATGATTGAACTGTCACTTTTTTTTTTTTTTTTGTATTTTCTTGAAGGGTTTAATATTATATATATATATATATTTATCTTTACGGTATTGATTTGACGGGATGGGGTGGGTGGTATTATCATAGGTAGGGTATTTTGGAAACACCATAATACTTGTACTACGGCTCAAGTATGATGCATGGATCAATTGCTCGTTTGGAGAGAGGGGAAAAGAATTGAAGTGAAGTGGAGCGCATACGGGCTCTCATCGAGTGATTCAATAAATGGAGACTCAGTGTGTAAAGTATGAAAGAGCTTGTATTACAGTCCGGAGCAAATTACCTGACCCCGGCAACCCTTTCTGTCAAGTAAGGCATGGTACAGTACTAGTACAGTACGTACCACAGCGCAGCGCTCAGCGCAACTCTTCCGCATCTCAAGTGGCAGGCATAATAGTACCGTATACCATGGTAGAAATATCCGGCCATATATTCCTCCCCACCCCCTTCCCCATCACGTCTTCGCGAACCCCAGCAAAGTCGAAGTGACACACAGCACCGTAACTTACCGACAGCAACTCAACCCCCCCCCCTAGCCATAGATTCGCCACCGTCGGCGGTGATAACTCTTTTTTTTTTTTTTTTTTTTTTTTTGGAGGTCGCATGGATAGCAGATACTGTAAACGCCGGTAATCCCGTCGGTTGGTCGGTCAGTCCATCGCGGAGGGGAAGGGAGGTTGCAGGGGACGAATGAATGGATGATATAATTGACGGAAATGAAATGACTTTATGGCCGACGATGTGTGTTGTGTCCGCTCGTTTGTCCGGTGGATGTGTTGTGGCGTTCTATCATACCGGTATGATACTCGAGTACCGTACGAGTATACGATACCAAACCCCACCACACACACCTCCTCTTACTCCTATGATACCGGTACTTGTACCAAGGTAGACCTCCTGAGCCACAACTGGATGGGGCGGGGCGGGGTGGGGCGGGGCCTGTCGAAGTACTCGAGTATCATACAAGCACGGTACATGATGAGTCTAACCATGTTCCCACACTTGGGGGGACGGGCACCATATACCGCGCCCCATTATCAATGCGCGACGGCTGACGAACCGAGTACCGTCCTGACTCCTGGCAAACAGACAGACTTTGGTACTCGTACCTGCACGAGCAGATTGATTCCTTGACGGGTCTGAACTGAGGCTTCCCGACACGGGTACGAAAGGGGTGGGCTTCCTATTCCAGGACTTTCCCAGAAATCGTACTCGTAGGGAGCGTTTGTCACGGGAGAGATTTGAATTTCGCACGGACATGCTCAATTCATCGAGTTCATAGGGTAACTTGACTCTAAACCAGCCATCGTACTCGAGGAAAGCAGAAAAGAAAGAAAAAATTCCCCCGACCAAAACAAGAAAATCATGTAAAAAAAAGTCTATAATGTTTCAGAGTATAACGATGCAAATACCTATACAAGTAAGTCCGAGTACCGTATAGTTACACTCTATCTCATAGGGAAGAAAAGAAATGAGAAATGAAAAAGAAAGCAGAAAAAGAAAATATAATATCAAATCCGAGCGGTTAAGGTAAACCAGTGCTACAAGTAAGTTACTCGTACTGTACTCGAGTACAAGTACCCTGCACCAGTCTCGACTACGCCGACCGCGGCAACTACCCCGTTCATCAAGCAAAGAGAGGACAAGGCTGCATGTACTCGAGTAACGCAACTTAACGTCACTGTGCGGCACGTATTAAATCGCTGCAAGTCCCAAATATGGTACTCATACAAAATAAGGAGAGGGGAAGGACAGAGGTACTCGTATATCACGTGCATTAAGTAAGAAACGTGGTTCAAGTACGGTATCATGATATGGCGACCCAAACAAAAAAGGAAGGAAAGACAAGATAGAATGAGCAAACAAGCAACCCCTTTAGACCAGAAAAATAACTTGTACCGGATTTATAGATACTGTAAAGAAAAGGAAAAAAAAAAACGCCCAGGAAGGTACCGTAGTTAGTTACGTCAAGCCTTGCTATGCATTCAAGGGCCGTTATTGAGATAGCGAGATGACAAGGATAAGGGAAAGGAGGGAGATGCGAGGAATGAAAAGTTGGTCGATTGAGCGAAAGAGAATTTCGGGTAGAGATCTGTTATGGGAGCTTATTCTCCAGTGGTAAACGTCGTAAAACAGCCACCAAGTCGAACGAGAGAGTAAAATGAATAATAATAATAATAGAAAAAACAGTAAAAATAGCCTTTGTTAGTGTCTCTGCGACACTCTAATCCTTGTGCAAAACATTCGCTCTGCAACTCATCCAGTCAGCGCCAAGCTCAGATATGCACGGAGAGGGAGGGGGAACAAACCTTCGGAGAACCAGCTCCAAACTATCAGTACTGAGACTCCTCCCGGAAGGAATCTCGTCAACAATCCTCATAATATTGGCAAACAATTCCCCACCCTTGTACGCCAATACAGCGGGCACGGCAGCCACGTCCATTTCCGCCTCGTTATGGTGCAATTTCACAAATCTCGTAGTGGTGTACCGGCGAGCCAGTGTGTTCAAGCAGTCTTCCACGAAACGGGATTCCTCCGACTAAGAAGCCAATCAACAATGAGTAACCCATCCCCTCCATCCCAAGAACGGGCAGACAGAGAGGTCGACAAACCTTATCATTGTAAATAGTAACCACAACAATTGTCTCCGATGACACCCTCTCCACAGCGTCCAAGTATCCCACCGCATCGACGACCTCCACACGGCCGTACTTACGTTTGCTAGGTGAGTGCCGGCGAGTATTCGACTGGCCGGTTTTAAGCTCCTGCATCCGGTTCTTGCGCCATGTCCTCACGAAGTCTTCCTCGCCGCTCTCGACATCGCTGTTGAGGTCCTTAACTCTCGGCGGAGAGGAGGTCCCTCGTGGTCGGGACGATTGGGAGTACCCGATGTGAATTGTGTTTGTGGACTTTTGTAGCTTTTCCTTACGCAGGGCAGATTCGAAGGATATTGCGTCCGAGAGGACACCTTTAACGCCCTTTCAAAACGACACCGTCATTAGCCAGGAGGAAGGGGAAGGCAAGTGGCAGAAGGAGGGGGAGAACAAACAGTCTGGAAACTCCCAGATAAGTGTGAAGAATGCTTGAACATCATATCTCGATCACCAGTTCCCGGAATACTGCCACCAACTGATTGCCCCTTCTCTTCTTTCTCTGCTCTGTTCAGGCGTACGGTCTCGCTATCGCTATCGGGTTCTGAAGGGCTTTCAGAGTCGTCTTCCGGATGGTGCTTTGCTCGTGCTTCGCTCTTCAAATCGTTGAACTCTTCCATTGTCAAAAGAGGAGGGGGGCGGGGGTGGTATGAGGTTTATATTGGTGTGGGCTACGGTGTGTCTGTCTGTCTTGCTCCTCACTTTGTTGGTATGGGGGATGGGTGGGTGTCAAGGGAGGGAAGGATGGAAGGGATGGGGGTTGGCTAAGGAAGGAAATAACGTGGTGGCCACGCTTCCTTGCTTCCTTGCTGCCAGCTGCGTCAGATGTTATGGGAAAGATGGTAGGGATGATGCGAAACAGGGCAACGATGCGTCTATTTTGGACAAGGTGTTATGCGGTAAAGGTAAGGGTTATGCCTTCCCTGTCGATTGAATGGGTGAGTGAGCAGGTGATCAGTGTGTCTGTGTGTGCAGACAACAGGGACAAGGCCGAAAAGCCTTCTCACAATATCCGTGCGGTAATCGGTCCACAGAAGAAGGATCTCTCTTATGAGACGCCAGGTGTGACAGATCTGTGAAACGGTTTATTCCATCGTAGTAGAAAGCTATCTATCAAACTGTCCGAGTACTGTAGAGTACTATTTCCGGTACTCGAGTACAAGTACAGGACCCGTACTGTGCTCCACTCCAACGCCTCTACCGTGCCTTGCTCACCTGTGCCATACCTGTGCTCGAGCACGGTACCCACTATCTACCAGATTGCACCCTTACGGCACTCGCACCGTATCTCATATACCAAACCTGTGGAAGGAAGAAAAAATGAAATAAAATAAATATGCGGTGGAGCTCTCCGTCAAATGGTTGGATTAATCCAGCCCAGCTAGCTGGTCCATGCCAGTTCCAGTTCCAATTCCGGTTCTGGTCAGATATTCACCACTCATCATCACCCACAAAAGAAAAACGCGCTCCACCGACCGTGACACAGCCCCAAATAAACCCCCCCTCCCCCGATCCAGCTATCATAACCCAGCCAAAGCCAGGGCCAAGGAGCAAGCCGCGGATCAGTACCGGTATCGTGCTAGCATTCTGTGCGGAACCTCGTATAGACTAAGTCCGATTAGTGTAACATAGCCGCCGTCCGTAAGTCAATGATACCTTACTGGTGGTCGGTACCGGTACCATATTGGCCGCGACTGTTTCGAGTCCGGAGAGTTTTCGCACCCCTTGGCGATTTCCACCCATGGAGCCACATAAGACTTCATGCCCCGTAAATAGATCAGCGAATAGGTTCGGTTTGATGTAAAAGCACTGTAAGATCTGGGTAGCAGAGTGTATTTTCATGAAAGCTTGTGTGAGATTTTATCTCCAGGCCGGCCCTGCAGACTGATAACTTTAAGCATCCTGCAAAAAGGTTGGTGGAATGGCAGGTACCGACAGAAAAGTAGATTGCGATGGGGATACCTTGTAAAAGGAGAAAATTTTCGGTAGAATAAGAAACATTTCACAAGCTGTCCAATAGTATTTTGCGACACCGTCCCCCCCCCGTTCTCCGCGCTTTGTGTTGACTTAGACTACCTTCCCTAAAAAGTGAGCACCGTAGAACATCCACCATCTGACATCATATTAAGATTATTATTATTTCCGGTTTTAGACTGCTTTAGATTGGGGGCTTTATGGTTTTAAAAAATAATATAATATTATGATAATACTACAATATTATTATTGTAAAGTATTTTTATAGATATATGGTATCAAGGAATACAGAAGAAAAAAAGAGCAAAAAAAAAAGAAAAAAAAAAAAAAAAGGACCCAACAGAGTACTATATATATGGGTGCATTTAAGCGGAAAGGATAACAATTGGCAACAACCACAAAACTGAGTAAACGGTCCTGAGGCTAGAGTATATGGTAGAGAATCTTTCTAGATTTTTGAAATAAATTTAAGTTTAAAATTTGTGGAATGGTGGGTCTGTAATGAGTATTTTGTATTTATAGTAAAAAAACATTTTACATAAAATAATAGCCTACTTCAAAATCTACCTCTAAGCAAGTTTTGAAATATTTTTAAGAATACAATCAGTAGTTATTATAAAGTAAAGTAAAATGTTAATGGATATGAAACAATTTGCAAACATTATTAATCTGTGGTAAGAGAAAAAAATGCAATCATGTTTGAGATAAGATATAGGTAGACAAGAGCAGTAAATGAAAAAGAAGTAAAATAAGAACTAACTAAAAATCTAGATTAAGAAGAAAGTAGCAAGTTATAAGAACAGCTAAGTAGGAGTACGGGGTTTTCGGCCACTCCTAGTTTTCGGCCACTTTGGCGCCACTATTAGCTGTCAAAGGAACTCTAATTTACAACTCCCTGTAACTGGTATGGGTACTCAGTTATTGGTTTTGTTTTATGTTTTGTTTTAAGTATTGCTTTGATACTTAGTTTGTTTTAAGTATCGTTTGATACTTAGTTTTGTTTTATGTTTTGTTTTAAGTATCGCTTTGATACTTAATTAGTTTTACCAAACTGTATCGATTGATACCTTTGATTAGTTTTGTTCATGCTAGACATGAACAGATTTGTGTATTTAAAGACCACCTGTTTCTATGATAGAAAAGGAAGACTTCGACAGACAGTATTTCAATATACTTGGTTGAACGGTTACTTCTTTGTTCCTCAGTACACCCTCGAAGCCTCCTTTAGTTCTCAGCTCTCGCCTCCTCTCTAGAAGAGCAGGCCACCTGCCAACTATCGTATCAATTACCGATAACGTGATTAGCACCTTGCAAATACGTTACACTCCCATTGTAACCTACAGGCTTTCATTTGTACTTTTTCTAAAGACTGGGAGATTCTTAATGCTGCCTCCTCTGCAGGAGGTTGTTTTGCCTTTACTTTTGCCTTATTTTCTGCAATTCTAGCCTGTTCTACCTCCTCTTCCATCTTTGTCCTTTCCACATCTTCAAAAGACTTTTCAATTGATTCTACATTGGCAAACAAAGTATTTGGATTTATTGTAATCTTTTTTTTTTGTTTCTTACTTTCTAGCTTCTCTACCTGTATCTGTAGTTATTGGTTTTCAGCATATAGCTTAGTGTCTGTATAGTGCAAATGGACTCAAACTGGGTCCACAGAATGGACCAAATGCGATTACTAACTAGTCAACTACAACTATTAATTTTGCAAAAAAAAAACCGCTAGGTTGAAGCTAATTCTATGGAGAACAGGATAGCTGTTTTTCTTTTTAAATTAAGGGATATCAGCAATTGTTATTAGAGTTTAAAAAGTGAAAATTTTGGTAAGAGTGAAATTAAGGATAGAATTTTACTTAGGATCATGATAAGAAATACAGTGGATTACTAAGATATGGTGATAGTTGATGAATGTAGTTTTAGAGAGTAAATGTAAATGCACAAAAACATTACAATCTATATCAATAGCAATCTATAATCAATATCAATATGCCACGAATTAGCAACAAACAGAAACATATATAAAGTATTAGTCCTGCAGGCAGTGTAATGATTCCTCCTTGAATAGTTAGTTCTAGGCAACGGGGAACGATACTTCTCTTCTTCAGTTTCTTTCCTTAGTCTTATTATAGCACTAGGCCGCTGCCTACGTTACCGATAGTATAAGACCTCTGTTTTCTATCGGGAACGCCTATGGTAAGCTTTCTCTAACTCTTCTACGTGAAGAGCTTTCCTTGGTGTAACAATAACGTTGCAATAAAGATAAAGATCGTAAAGGTGTTTTATATTTGTTAAAGTAATAAGTAGGAAAAGTACTTAAGATTCAATCTAATTTTATTTAAACTTGTACCACCAACACTAGCATACAACGAGCCCCCACCAGCACAGGGATACCACTAACCGGTATACCACTAATCCTAAGCAAACTAAGTCTATGGCCCCACACCTGCCATCCCCGAGTCATGCCGGCACGGAAACCAATTACATGATCATCAAACAACCCAGTGCCCGCCCCAGTTCAAGCCTGTAGCCCCTCTGGTATGAAGCCAACCAGCACTAAGCGTAGCCGAAGCTGAGCAAAAGACCAACCCAACCAGGTTCCTCGTCTAACAAAATATAAAACACTACCGCCCGGTCTAAACACCGTTCTGTGAAACCTCTACCACAATAGAAAACTAACAATAATCTAAACTAAACCTACAGGCGGCACAATGGCAGGGAGGAGGAAACACACATGTCCACCTCTCGCACCTGCATGCCAGGCCGTTGATCCTGTAAACCTACTTTGCCAGTTGCCTCTAAAGAGCATGTTGGTGAGGAGGACCTGTACCCACTGCCTGTCCCCAAACAAAACAATCTTTAAACAAAAGAACTACCTAGAGGTGGTGACAGACTATGAAGGTCAGTGGGGCCTATCTCCTACCTGTGGTGCCATGCCTCCTCCTGCCAAACCCGTAGTCAAACTAAAGAAACCAAACAAAACCCACAAACTCCAGCGCACAAGACCTAAACAAGTCCAACCAGGTAGTTGCAACCCACTATTCACACAGGTGGCCATCAGCCAGCCGGCTCATCAGGGAGCTTTACAGTACTCAGCAACTTCATCCAACAGTCCAAGCTAGACTGAAAATACTTAATTAGACCTTGCCCAACCTGACACAGGCCCGACCGGTGCTCGTAGGTGCCTCTCCCCCCCCAATCAGCCCCCCCAAGCCCTACACGCCAGACGCCACAGAGCCCATCCAGTCCTCCAGCCCCTCAGACAGATCAACCATCCAATATTAACAGGATAGCTTATACCTAGCCCCGTCAGGCAGCCACTGGTCTTGGCCACACCAATAGAGCTGCGACCCCCAGTATATCGTAGCCGAGGGGGTCCACCAGCCACAGCTGGAAGCCACAAGGGAGGCAGTACCAATACCCAAAGGCAACGGCACCAGCCACACCATCCAACCCAGCCGAACCAAAGTCCTACTAAGCTGGGAAAGAGTAGGCAGCGCTAGCCAAAGCCAGCCCCACAGGTCTGGCAACAAGTACAGACCGAATGATGAGCAAGAGGTAACCCAACTGACACGACAAGAAGGGGGAGGGTGAGCGAACGGGAGTAGACAAACAAAAGGTAGGCTCCACTTGTAATGGGTGAAGCCGCCAACTACAGTCTACAATTAAACCACCCAAACATACAAATAACGCGAGTGTCTGGCAGCCAATCGTCCCACACCACCCCAGGTAGTAATG